CGGTACTGACATATGACAAGGACACGAGACGATGCGTCCCGTGTCAGTTGATTTCGGCGACCATGTCTTGTTTAAAAATTCAGACTCCACTTGAACCGAACTGATCTCTGTTTGACAAGATGCATGCGTCATCTCACAACGGACAAGTACCGCTGAAGGTGTGGAGTCCGCAGTAGCTGCATTTGCCGCATCTCGAAGCACCACAATGCGTGCTCTGGTCCAAGGGGCACTACTTATGTCGTCCGGTATACTGATGGTGCTGATACTAGGTTCGCTGATCCCCGTCACGTCGTAATTCATGGACGGACCCACTCGTGAAAGACAAGGAGACAAAGAATCAACCGTATCTGAGCGAGCTATCGATGACAAAGCCTGTTCCAAACGAACTGTTGCAGTGGCATGCTCTGGTGCAGCTTGTAAGCGTTCTTCAGAAAGTGAACTCAATTCGATTAAGGATTGATGAATCTGATTCCATAAATGCGTGGCCGATGTTTCATCCGATTCGGTCGTTTTCCGCCGATCTGAATTGTCCTCAACAGACTCCGTCAAAAAACTATTATCCGCTGAATGTGTTCCCACGGCCACATTGTTCTTCTCATTCGGACCTAAACTGAAAACGTGTGTTGTGGGATTAGTCGGCAGGGTCTGAATTGGCCGTTCAACAGGACAGTTTGGTTCAATGACACTGTTCAACAGAGTGACATGTATCTGGGGTTTGTTCAACGCCTTATCGGACTGAACAGTTTGAGTGCTGTGACAAATCAAACTTAATGGTTGTTCTGTTTTGGTTGAGCTACCTTTTGGTCCGCATGCTGAATTGTGTAATAACCGACTCAGACGAATTTCTGGTCGGGCAATATTATGTTCATCGGAAAATTCCATCTCGGATGAGAAATGATCTTCCATGGTTTCGGTTAATCGCATCGAACGCAAATCCAAATCATGTGCTTCTTCCGACTCAAATGTGACCTGATGTACTGAATACCGTCGGTTCAGGGGACTGACCAAGGCGGGTTTTTGTTTCTGCCTCGGCTCTCTTTGTTCAACGCCTTCCGATGTATACGATCCGCTGGCACTGCGTTTGGAATGTGCACCTGTACTGCTATGCACGGAACTGAATTCTCGCGGTAATGGAATCTGACTTGGCATGATGTGTACATTACGTGTGGTCGAATCCGTTGAATCCTTGGTGGGAAACATATCCAACGATTCTTTCATATTTGACCGTTCACGAGTTTTGTGTGTTTTACTGAATGGTAACGGGCTCAAGTGATTGGCTTCCACAATCTGGTTTTCAGGTTTCAGTTCAAACCGTTCGTTTAAATCTGGCACAGTTTCACATTCGGTCAATCCTTTATCTCCCACACGTTTATCGATATAAGACTTAGAAATCGAACAAGACCCTTCTTGGTTCCGCAACCCGGCAAGTTTTTGCTTGTCCTCATTCTTGGATCTGTTCGAAGTGAGGTTTGCTGGAGTCCCAACGACATGGGGGGTCGGCTTATTCACTTTCAGTTTCTCATTCACCAATGAACGAGCAATATGTGTTACTTCAGTCTGACAAATATCGTCCATGAGTTCCCTGGTCAAATCGTACGGAGCCGCATAGTTTCGATAGATCTGGTTCAAATCGGCAATCAACCTCCGATAGCGTCGGAATCGACAAACACGACGCTTGGCCACATTAGTTGTTTTGCTATCCGTTTTTTTTACCATGAGTGGCAGCTGGGAATTTCGATCTGTACTCGGTTTTGGGGGTTTGTCTGCACTTTCGCCACTCGGAGTCACAATGTTCGTGGGTATTTCAGTTGTCATACCTTCCCGCAACCGTTGATCACTGCTATCCGAAGAATGGCGAACTGTGCATCCGAATTTGTCGATCCGAGTCTTTCGGTTTTCTTCGGCGTCCGACGTAGGCAACGGCACGGCCGAGACAATTCGGCGGATCGGCGTAGAAGGTAAAGAATAACAGACCGGTGCTTCGAAAGTTACATGTTTCCGTTCGGGGGTGGTTAAAGAACTGCCCGTTCTTCGAGGCAAAATTTTTGCCATTGGAGTGACTGTAACCACGGGAGTGGTTGGTGGTTGTGACGAAGAATCCGACCGTTTCTGATTCGAGGTCAGAAGAGCCGAGCGGATTTGAAAAATGTCTGGGCCCGTCTTTTCTGCTACTCCTTTTCGTGGAATGGCTTGACTTATACGCTCAGAACTTCTAAAGCCGAACTTAACTGGCGATCTTTGATCAATGGATTGTACATGTATGATTGACTTTCCATAGTCTTTATGACTTGATCCCCGTAATACGGACTGTGACTTGGAATTTAGCATTCGCTTTTCTGTTTCTATTGTACAGCTTCCAACATCACCATCACTTTTGGAAGTGGAGGATCCCAGTGGTTCACCTCGTTTGATTACATCTTCGGATGAGTCCATCGATGGATTTGTTTTACCGGATCTTACAGAGTTATCCATCAAAGAGGATAGTGAGTTACCCGCATCTTCACTCTCACGACGAGGTCTGATTAGATCTGGTGGTGCATTACAAGTGGAGGGATGCAAAGAAAATCTTGTGCGTTTAGCCGCACCTTCACGTGACCTGTCACTGCTAGAACGACCGGTCACTAAGGCCGAAGGACGTGGAGTGGGCGTGGAATTCTGCGAATTGGACTGATCCAATGGGGCTGAAGCTGTCTCACGTGAACGATGCACCGGGGGGCTAATTCGCTTCTTGTAATGGTCCACCGAACGGCTTCCGGAATGACGTATCGCGAGCAGTTGCTTGCTCGTGGTGAGAGTAGGATCGGTTTTTGAAAACTTAGTATTAGCACGACTGTCTCTTCGTCGCCCTATCCAAATGGTCCCGGTTCTCCAACTTTTCTGACTTAACAAACATTCCATTTTTTTAGTATATTTTGTGCTAGCGCTGGGTTTTCCAGTTTGGATTGATCCAAGCTCGTTAACGGTTCCATCTGAAGTTCGTCGAAAGGCACCGCGGAGAAATGAAACCACTCGGTGTCCAACAGAATTCGAGTGGGCAGTATTGGCGACCGGCTTCTGAGAAGCCTGACAAGTGTCAGTGGATATGGGGTAGCTAAAAATACCCGCATCATTTTCTGGTGAAAACATCACATTCCGTCCGAATTCCGCACACATAGACCGATATTGCTTTACCCATGGCGATGCAGTCAGGGCTTGGAAATCGTAGCTGTTCGAATGGGACAGTTGTTGTAAGTCATTAGGAATACACCGAGGCGGGGTTGTGTTGCACAATTGCACGAGATCTGGTGTCTGTCCATAAGTAACATTCAGCAAACCCTCGTAGGACATGTGGTCACAATATTTCGCTTCCTACAAGCTGCCGCTTGGACCACTGTTTCAGTTGGCTCTGATTTCAGCATGAGATTAACTTAACTCAAATCCACACAACACCTCCGACATGAAACGATCCGATACAAAATGGTTTATTAAGTGGTCGTGAACAATAAAAAAAATTAGTGTGACTTTGGACGGCAATGTAACTTTCACTGGTGGCCTGTGTTCGAACAATTGAGGTGAAAGATCGATGAAGGCTGATCGGCCCGATCACATGACTCTCGAGCACCGTGCATTGCAAGCGTGTCAAACCAAAAGTAAAACGAGATTATGGATCACAATCACATGATGTAGTATTGCGATTTGTCATTAGCCAGGAAATAGCTAGAAAGTAATGTTTAATTTGAGTGAACAACATAAATTGCCGTTGTTTGTTCCCAAAATATTAACTAGGTGATAGACAGCTTCACAGAAACCTGACTCAATACATTTGTAATATTGGAGTCTCCTAGATACTGATCAAGACGAATAAGACGTGAAATGAAAAACGAATACGGACCTCACGGGAAGATGCAAGCAAGCAAAAACGTGGGTCAACGTTTTATGGATCGATCAAATCTGTAACAAATGAACTCTCCAGTTCGCACTACTAGTTTGAACCTACTTTGGATAGCAAACGATGGGATACCTAAACGTCCAAAACAATGCACGGTAAATGCGATGAGTATGAAATTGGAACCAGAATTTCGTAACTCATTATTCTGCTTCGGTCACTCTAAACGTCCACCAGTTCCAGCTATTCAAAGCCAGAATATCACCACACAGTACATAAAAAGAACTAAGACGAACAAAAGGACTGGTCGTGTGAAAGACATGTTCGTTTCTACGGTGATTTCAGTAAAATGGACCGTGGTATTATTCAGTCCCCCAAACCACTCACAAAGTAGCCACTATGATACAACAAAACGATACTGATTCACTGTTTTTCTAATGGGCACTTATCATAAAATTAGGGCGGTCAAGCGGTAAAGGTCAGTCAGCAAAATATAACCACTGTATGACTTTCCCCATTCTGAATAATAAAAAGCCCAAAACACAGGTTGGCACAATATATCCTGGATCATTTCGCTATATCTGTACATGTGCATACTGCAATCTATGTGATCAGTTACATTTGGTGAGTAAATAACAGAACCATAGGCGGAGAAAGATTGCGGTCAAAATTACTCACCAAACACATTTGTTACCAAGGTAGCGCCGAGTGTAAAGCCATTCACGCTGTTTACACAGTTTAGGATGGTAATTTTGAATGACTTGTGCCTCGGTGTTAGTCGAAACCTTGGTGTTGTTTGTGTTGTAGAGGCTCCTGAACGCGCCGTGCAGCATGACACAGTGTTTCATTTCGATCAGATGTTGTGTGATCGACGAACTGAGTTTCCTACGGGTCATTGGTGACCTCATACTTCCGAAGTTCCCACTTTTTGTTTTCTGAAGCCAGACCGGGATGCGTTCGGTTACTCGGTAACGCAGTTGTCTCTCCATTCTGCCGATGTAGATGGCCGAACATCCACACTTGAACTGATAGATACANGATACAATTAGATTTGGTGTGGGGAGACTGCGGTTCTTTCACCGATTGTATTGGCAACCGGGTGGTTGTAAAAAACGGCCGATTTTTTACGCTTTTGGTAGTCAGGCAGCTGATATCGTCACCATTGAAGGGCAGTTGCAGAACCACTCTAAACTTATCTGCACCTGGTGTCTTTTTCCGTGTACCGTTAAGTTGGGAGTGTTTTCAGATGAACCCTTTCGGACATCCGTTAGATTGCATTTCACACACGTCTGACGCCAGACTATGTGCCAAACAAATCACGGTACAGTGATATTTATAAAAAAACAAGTCCATGATTTGCTCTGGAACATGAGACTGCTAGGTTGCCCAGGCCACGGCAGGTGAATTTTCTTGGGGAATCCGCAACCGGAGCCTTTGGCTAGCCAAAACCTGGACCGCAAGGCAGCTGGGCGGTGTGTGAAAACCGTAATCCATTGGGGACCACTAACAACCGGAAAGTTGTGGGTGTGNGGGTGTGGTTCATAGGCCTCTTCTTGGTTGGTTTAGAATTAGGGTTTTTCGCTCACATCCCTAGGTGAACTATCAGTAGTCCGCCGACACGGTTACAGCTCCGGATGTTGGTTTTTCGTCCACTCACTGTGGTGAGAAAACACCTGCGCCACGAGAGGTCGAAATAGGTGAGAAATACTAAATCCATAGAAGTCGTTCTTCGTCGTTATCAGTGAAATTCGAACAAGAGTCAAAAGTTACCCGACTTCTCGTCATGAAGGTAATATTTCGGATAAAACAAACGTCTCTCTTCATAATGGTCGATCTTCATTTTTAGTTTTTAAAATGACTAAGCACGCACTCCCGTGCTTTGCTACTAGGCGCTGTCTTTTGTCAACAAATTCAACGATCTAATGGAGAAGAACTACGAGTGTGACTAAGACCAAAGATCGGATATAAGTAAATGAGATGCGCGGGGATTTCGTGAATGCACAAGTGATACCAATAAGAGGACACTCGGTCACACCACAGAACATTTTTTTAACCGCATCTGCGTATGACGTTTTTATTTGTTTGTTCTGTTCCAAAATTTAGATAAGAAACATTAAAGAAGAAGTATCAATGGAAATATCTGTGACGACTGGTTAGCAATGCGTACTGCTCTCGTGCCTGTCTGGACTGGAACCGCGAACCCTTCGCGCTTGGAATGGAAACCCTTATCATTGAGCTACATGACCAACGGTAATTACCTTTTACGAATGGGTCAATTGAGGCAGTGGACGTTTGGGCTAATTCATTTTTACAGCAACCACGCATTTTTGATAATCTTGTGTGTGGGTTTCACTCCTTGGAGGATCATGAATTTCCCACTGGTTAAATACATTTTATGGAGCCCGATAGATGTGAAAACCGAGATGGGCTAATCCAAGTATTCAACGCATAAAGATATGGCCATACCTATTACACCAAGGCGCATGCTAACCATAGACGAAAAAAGATTACTAGTAGATCCGTATCATTTCGCTTATACCTGCCCATCTACCTTTCCGTAATCACTTTGCACATGCAGAGTCAGGCTGCAGGAAACGTGGCGGCGGTTAGACCATGAAGCGGCTTAACGGTGTGAAGAAGCAGGCTTCAGTTTTGATTTCGGTTGGTCCAGGTTAGAGCCCAAGGAATGAAGATTGTTGTTGATTAGAGACGCCAGGGGAAATGGTGTTGAATAGAAGTCAGTGGCGCGATGTCTGTTGAAATCCTGTGCTCCATAAAACACAGTAAGCTAACGCACACAACGACAATATCAAAAGGTGTATGGTGGAACAAACAAAAAAAACAACTGTTCTTCTTATCTTAATCCACTGTCCATATTCCTCTGTGTAGTACCCCAATTCCCCATTTTCTATTACTATTCTTGTTGCGCTGGCACCACACACATACAAACACACATTACACATATAGAGTTGATAGAACTATTCAAACACCGGAACAGATATTTCTAATTTGATCCGCACCACTCTTGTCACTACTCTCAACAAGACAGCCGCATATAAGAAAATAAACCCTGATTGAAGGATGAAAAGAACGTGCTCAGAAATAGAAATTGTGTGCCCATAGAGTAGCTTTCGTACATGCATACACACATACGCACGCTCAAGTGCTACGGAAACAATGGAAAAAGAATCTACCTCACATAGAGGGAAAAACAACAGGTCCCGGGGCAATACAACAACTTGGAGTAGGGGACAATAGAGCATACGGTTCTAAACAGGACGTCGAAAATCAAGTACTCTCATCATTTTGTTCCCGGTCCGGTGTGTATAGTTCGAATTCCAGAGAATAACTGACTCAAATCGACCATTGCGAATGCGGAATGCGACAACAGGCGGTCCAAATGCTGGCGACAAGTTTTCAAGTAACGACCAATCGCTGGGTTGCTGGGACCTAAATAATAAGATAGAAGGTCGTCATATAAGTGAGAAAGGAATCGGCGGAAAAATAATATATCTGATACTGAGGATGCAAATGAGAAAATGACAAAATACAGAAATTTAAAACAGAACGATTATGGATACCGATAGTAGCAGCAAGGTTAAGATAACATGAACGTGAAGATTGAAATCTCAAACGACCGAATGGATTGCAGAAACAGAGCATGTGGACACTGTGGATCGCTGAAGGATAAAATGCATTATTCTCTGAACCTCATGATTCGATAACACTGATGGGAAATTGCACGTCAGTATAAATTTGAGTAGAAAAATCGCATGGTTGACGAAATAGTAAACATGAATTCATAGGAGATAACAAATGAAGTTCTCCCCCAATTGGTGTGATATCAAGTCGTAAGATAATGTGGTTATTAGCTCAAAAAGTTGATTAGCGATGTTTTCGTTCGCACCTGGAAGCTTGTCGGTGACGTCGTTTTGAGCCTTTGGACAAAACATTCAAGTGTAGGGGCAATTGCAACGTATTCACTAAGTTCACTAAGTTCCGCCTGGTCTATCTATATACATTGCAACACACCCAACAACTCCGGAATCAGGAATCTTCCAGATTTTCTATCCGAAAGGATATCTATTCTAAAAGCGTCACTAAATCGTCCCTCAAGAAGGTGAGAAAACCAAGGGATAAATAAAGCCAAACAAACCAGGTGCTACTCTACACATATGGCGTGTAGAAAGTTGCTGATGGCATCTTTCGTCACTCGGGGTAAATTTTTTGTCCATAAATCTACAATAGCATTGTGGCTAACTTTGTTCAAAGACAAGGAGTACGCTCGAGCAGATAATCAATGAAAAGGCCACTTGCGCAGGTACTGATGGACTATTGTTCGATAAGTGGTACTGATTATATATATATATATATATATATATATATATAAGGCAGGTAAATTTTTTAAGGAGCCTTTGCCTAACCAAAGCCTGATCCA